GTACCTTATTTTTCGATTTTCTAAATATTTTGTTGTGTTTAACTCACTTGTGACGGATTCATTTTCACATTCTTGTATAAACACTAGACTGGTCTTTTTAACTCGTAAATATTTAACTAGGTAAATATGGCTTTTTCTATTATGTCCCATTAAATACATCACGTTAGGTTAACAAAATAGTTATTTATCAGATTTAAAAAGGATACCATCATATTCCAAAATCACAAGTATTATTGATCCAAATATAGATTGTAATTAATCTTTTTGCAAACATATTTTATGAAATATTCATGTATGCATTAACTTTTTACGTAAATTTCCAACTTAACGTTGCCATCAAATGGAAGTAGCTGGTGTGTGATTCCACTAAGTAGAAGATAACTATTGTAGGGGATATCATGTTATTGGGTTTGGGTTTGGTTTTTTGTTTGTTTTGTTTTTTTAATTTTTGAAATGTAAGTTAACCATGCTTACACGTGATTCTGAATAATGAACAACCTTTTTTATATCTTCGTAACCAAAGTTTTGTATCATTTCGAATTTACATATATTAAAAAGATTAAGCAGATACATCAAATTATCATACTATATATATATATATAACTACAATTATAGATTTTCTCACTATATTTATTAAAATATTTTTTTCTACTATTTCACTTGACCCTTCGTCTTCAAGATGATTTTTAACAATAATTAACGTTCGAATACATACTAAACTAGGGGATAAACGATAACAGCAGCATATCGTAATTATTTTTGTGAATATATATTAACTATGTTTTGCTTGTCATTTTTTTAAATGGTAATTTTCCATTCAATGTAAATTTCGTTTCCAATTAATAAGTGTTTAAGGTTATATGCTACCGTACCCAATACACCTGCGATATATTTTTCGAATCGTGTGAGTGTTATCAATTTGGTTATTTTTGTGTATTTTAAATGCAGCACTATTTATTTAATAAAGTCGAGATAATCATTCAGAATATATACAAGACAATTTTATGAGATGTCCATCACACTCTTGTAGAACAGGAATTCAAATTGCAGTGAGGTGCCATATACATGTATCATTTATCGATGATGTAAAATCTTTCATTGAGGAAATAGGGAAATGAGTCACAATATTTCACTGATATTCTGTATATATTTCATTTTCAAATTAATCCTGTAATGTTTTCGTTTTATACATACATGTATATACATTGTCGCTATAAATAATATTAATTTATGAAAACAAAAATAAGACATTTATACTTTTATTTCAACTTGAGAGCCTGAGTTTGTAGGTTTGAATTGTGAATAAAGTATAACTGAATTAGATTCAAATTAAGATCCTGAGTTCTAAGGACACGAACATTCTATTAACCCCCTGTGTACACACTCATGATTTTCTGATGAAGGATAATCATAGAGTTAAACCTATCCAGTTGCTACCTTTCTATCAACTTTGATGAACATAATTGTTTGTTATCTTGACTAGGTATAACCATATTTAATATATTGAAGTAAGATAATGTACCAGGGTATAAATGAGTATAGTTAATACAAATGTGTAGTTTAACAGGTTTATTTGTTGCAACTTTACAACACTAACGTTTTTCGTTGTTTTTTTGTTTATCTTTTTTATTTTTAATGTCAATATTTGTAAATAACACCTGAGTTGGTAGTTGTGGGTAAATGGCTAAGAGCTTTGAGAAACTGGAGAAAATTAACCCTTTCACCCCTATGTATCTTTAGAAGACTCTACCATGCATTGATATGGATGAGTCCATTATGGTCCATAGTGGAGAAAATTTAAATCCTGTGGTCAATGGAAACTTGTGTTTTTTTCAAATAAAATATGGTTAAAAGTCTTCCGTACATGACTAATCAAACATATTTTCCGATTGCCATATTTTTCACTTTCTACATCTTTTATCGTATTAAGTTCAATGGTGATGGTTATACTTTAATGTACATGTATACACATATATATTGTCTGTTTAAACCTGTAACTATATTTGACTGAATATTTATGTCTTGTATCCTTCATTATGTTCCGTTAAAGAAGCGAGATCACAACACTAGATTTTCCAAACTTTAAAATGAAGATTTCAATATATTTTTTAATTATAAAGATGATTCCGTTATAACTTATGATTGGACTTTTAATGAGGTGTCTTTACTTATATTTTTAATAAACATTATAATCAATAAGAAAGTAACTGGTGTCTGATTCTTCTAAATGGAACATGAACATTGTGGTGAATATCATGATGTGTCAACTATTTTTGTGTACAATAAAACTTTCCTTCCTTTTCCATGAATCTGAATACATGGCTTTTCTTGTTATTCTTTTCTTAACAAATTAAATACATTCAATGTTTCGAAAAGCAAATAAAAATAACAAGATGTTACCAAAATCAAAATGCAAACATAAAACTTGAAAGAAATATGAGCAAAGGAAAGTTTTACATGAAGACCATGGAAAAAATCGAGGAGAATAAGAATATGTGTTCCAAAAAGAATGGGATTGGGTGTTTCTAAATGGTCGACGTCTTCTGCATCATCGAGGAAGATTGAACTGAAAGCTTATAATTAAAACATAATATCTTAAACAACATAAGCCTGTGTTTTTTTGCATATCGGTTTTTAGACAACTCCTAGAATGAGTCATTTGCGTCCCTGCCCCTCCTGATTTCAGTCTCCAATCTCGATATTTGTTGTCGACCCTGTCGGTCGCTGCTTGTAAAATATGACCGAATATTCCACATTTTGCTGGTGAACCGGAACTGGTCTTGGTAGAAAGTCGTTGACCCAATAGTTAAGTTGTGTAGAACATCCATCTAAAGATAAGAAGTCCGGGGCTCGTATATAGGTCTGTTACATTTCTTTGTGTTATTCATTGAACGATTGCCTGGTTACATTGCATATATCATAGACACATTTATTAACCAGAAAGGACTTGTTTTGATAAACAACATTTATTTATATCTCATCATATATAAATATAAATAATAATCAAATACTATAGATTATGTTGCAGTGTTGTTGTGTCTCTATTACAATTGAGCTATAAATAACCGTTTTTTTGTCAAATTACGCGCAAAATTATATTAAAAAAATGTTAACTTATTTAGCATGCATTATGTTTTATTCGCTGTAACAGCTAAGCTACAGTAAATTTATATTATCTACTCGTTAAGTTATCGGGCTTCATTTGTTAAATGAAAGGCTTGCCTTCTGCGTTGCAAACCGACATTTTAATCTTGAATAAAGGTAAACACTGAAAATCCAGGAACCGTTAATAGTATGTATCAAATATGCAATTTATTCTTAAATAATACCAAATATATTTCTTTCTTGATTTTTCTAAATAAACAAGTTAATATTATTAACGGTTTAACATCTATGGAATGTTCTTGAATTTATTTACAATGGAAACATCAACTATTTATAATGTATTCCAATGCGCCAATTTGCATGCTGACAACAATATATCACCAAAATTATAACATCGAAAGATATCCATATAGCTTTGTAGATCTTTTACATGTTATGAAAACATCTTTCTCTTTTATTGTGGCCCCTGTTATAGTTCACAAAGGATATATTAAATGGTAATAGAGAAATTGCTGTTTAAAGTTTTTAACATGTTTAAATAACAAAATTATTTACGAAAACATTTTTCTAAAAATATATGAAACTATGCATGAAACGATTGCCACTGCAATGAATAATGTAAAACATAAACTTATTTTACCATAATAAGGAAACAAGGTATTTCTACTTATATGAATCACTCTTGTAGGCCCGAATGTTAGCGCCCAATGCAATGCACCACGTAGTTTGGGAGAAAACCGAAGTACCCAGAGAATGCAATGCACCACTTTGCAATGAATAATGAAAGGATACGTTTTAAAATTCTTAAAAATTACCATTTATGGTTTATCAGTTCCGACCTTGTCTATTAATATGCTAAGCATGATTGGTAATTCGAGATATCCTGTTTACAAGTTAGTTGTTTTCAAAACCAGATGTTACACTAAAGACACCTGTCTGCTTCGTTGTACTTAACATTGGAGGCACAGAGAGGGGAAGATTGAAAATGGACGTAACCTGTGTCAGGTTTTCATCGGCGAGTGCTAAGTTACAAGATACCAATGACAAAGAGATACTGTAGGTTTGTTTCCTGAAAAATGTATTTGAAATCGTCTTTAAAATCGTCTGAAAATAGGCGAGTTCCGGTATTGAATGACAGCTCATTTATTAGTCGTGAAAATATCGTGTTGAACCTTGACCTTCTGTAGCTATCATATAACCTCATCAAAGAACTTGCCAACTCGTCTGGCGTGAGATTTCGAGTTAGAATTCTATCTCAATGACATACGTTATGATAACGTCACGCATCCATGGAAACATTTTTCAAAGGAATATTGCAGCTGAAACACAAGCATGATTTACCAAGTAAGCCTACTTTTAAAAGGTAATTACAGGAATAAATCGAGGAGATTGGTATTCAAGACAAGCTGAGTGAATCAGTAATAATCTATTCATTAAATATGCTATCTACAGTCAAATGTTTCATTGATATTTCACAGGAAACGTACGTAACATCTTTTAAATATTAGATAATTCTTCGAATATTATCTGATGTGAATGTCACGCAATGTCTAAAATAAGAGCTTTAGTAAAGTGAACTCGCTTTAATTGAGCCTCTTAGAATCTGTGAGGTTAAAAATGCTATTTAAAGAAAAAAAGAATAATCAGAATAGTGAAAAAATATCCGAATGAAGGAGGTTTCACTTGGAACTGTCATGTATAAGATATAAAACATGCTATCAGATGGTGATATTTGGTTAATTTGGCATTTTTAATTTTACCTCAATCGAGATTTATTTACTGTAGGAAAGAAACGAAATTCACTTTACTTCTCTTTCATTCACAATTTAGAATTTGTCATAGTACAAAAACAATAATAAAAACATCGAAAACACAAACAATTTCTTATTTTTTCAATGCAATTTATTACAATTAAAGTGTAATATTTGTTAAAGGCAGTGTATACAAGTGTTACTACAATATAGGCGATAAAGAATGACGTACTGTAAGGGGCGAGTTACCTTCCCTTCTGTTTTTCCCACTTCTCTTTTAAGATAATTAGGATACTGCCGATAGTTCAAAATAATCTGTTAGGTATTAGGCATTAATGTCGTCGCATCGCCGACTATATAAAAGAAAATTCCCCGACAGCAATTATTTTTTAATATTTCTAATAAAGTGCAATCATATATTTTTCCTCTCATAACACATTAAATGTCAATGAGTGTCATAGAACTACTTAATGCCATTAAAACAAACAATATTTAATTGACACCCATTGAATCGCGAATTATGTGTCAAATGTACCCTTTATATGACATCATTCCTTTGACACTCATTATTTATTTATTTTATTTTATTTTTGAGGCTTTTTGTGTCACTAGTTAAGACTACATCTAACATATGAATGTAATGAAAACATAAAATCTAGAATCTGCGTTGGAAACTGGTATATTAAATTAACTGAAAAATAAGCATGAAGCAAACCATCATAATTAACACAGCACACAACATAGAGTTAGTTTAGACAAGGGTATCACACAATTGATAAAACTATCTGACATTTTATGGAACCATTTAAATATTTCGTAGTCGACAATCAAAATCGATATTCAAAAGCTTAACGATGGAAAAAACAGTTAGGATTTATCAATAGTTTGGAAAGTCAAATGGAATATTTTCATACCTTCAACACGGAATGTTTCTACATTATCAAAACAAAACTAAGTTATAAAATGTATATTCCTTTTAAGAAAATATAACATCTCACTCATTATAAACATTAGAACCCTCTTTATAAAAACCAAAACTGGCGGTGAAAACAGAAATTATAAAAATTGTATATTAAATCATACAGCGAAAAAGGAAATCCTGCCTGAATATGTGTTGGAATGATGTAAACACTTATAAACGCTACGTCTCTGTTAACCTGTTGAATACTTAAATACAATCAGAGCTGTTTCCTGGCGCGTGACGAGCTGTGCATCTTCGCTTGAACATGATACAAGAATTTGATATACTATGTAACCATGGTTTTAACCGCGAATTCAATCTGAGCGATGTTACATTTTACGTAAATGGTTGCATTGTCTAATTCAGTAGTGTTTTGGTTTTCAACTTACAACAGGATGTATGATAGACCACAGGTCACACATACCACCATACTGTAAAATGTATGTTGATGTAGTAAGAGTATTGTTATTTCAATAAGTCTCATTCGTTTTCCTTAGTGTGTGCACTTGTCATGTGTCCGTCTGAAATAATTCCAAAGGTCAAAAATAACTATGCACACGTATATCCCATTCCATGAATTATTCTGATAATTTACATATCTCCCGTGTAATCTGATGAGAGAATTTGTTTTAAATGAATAATTGCTAGAAAATGCAAGAAACATATATGATGGAAACATGTACAACAACTTTTTTTATCAAATTTGTTCACAAAAAAAACCCTGAATTACAAAGAAAATAAGATGATCATTCCTTGCCTTGTTTAGACACTGACAGAAATAACTATATACAAGGCAAGACGTTCAATAGGCCTGTATCCCTCATCTATTATTTAATGAGTCAGCATTATGTATATATGCGATTCTGAAACGTTCGAAAAATAACATTTGATCACTGTTACCTTGGACATGTATTGTGATAAGTCATTTTGACAATATTGATAGCCTTCATCTGATCAAGCAATAGGTAATATAATATGACTCTAGGCCTTGTAGGTTCTGGAAAGAGGTTGTTTAATGTTTTTCAAAACATATGAGTATTGTGAAGTTCATTTGGGGTTATAGAAATGATGTTGGACTAATTTTAAGCAGAAGTTGACGATGGAAAGATGGAGAACGCCCCGTCATTACATAGTTTACATATACCTGTTGCAGAAAAATTTAAACAAATGGCATAAAGACAACGTTTCATGTGAAATATTTCAAGTCACTTAATTTGGGTTAACAACACATTTTATAGATACCTCATTTGGACACTTAAATTATGTTAAAATTTGGTTTGAAAAAGTTGCCTGTAAAGAGGGCAGTTATGCGTATATTAACACTTACCTGAAGATTAAATCGTTTCCAACAAACAATGGTAAAACTATCTTTTTGCAGACATGTCATTAACACAGAACTAAAATTTTCCGTTTCGTTCGCCTGAATGTATTAATTTAAAAAAAACGTTTTGTGTTTGATAACTCAAAAGAAAAAATCTTAACTATCATGCATTCATGATTATAAGAAAGTAAACAAACAGATTTCAAATACCAACACGTTCATTGTGATGTGAACAACTTAGGTAGTAGCTATGGAGTGAACTTAACCGTGAACAAGAGTGTTTGTGCAAAATATAGAAAAGTGATCTGTCGTGATCTGGTGTCTATTTTCTGTATTAAATAACAACCTACCTGATTCTTTTTCTTGAAGATGCTCTCTGTATTAAAGATCAAACACAAATCCATCGTTATCTTGCAGTCATCAAACCTTATCTTCAGGATAGATTTGTTCTTGTTTTAAAACAAATCTCACAATATCTGTTATATTTGATATAATAGCCTTTCTAAATTTAATAAATTTTAAGGTATAGGTTTAACGATAATATAAAAGTTTAGGGAGAAAAGTAATTAAGGAATTTTCGGAAAATAAAATGTGTTATAAATGTCTTTTTATTTACGAGCATCCCGTACTTGATAATTTCTAATTTTATTGTCAGCTTGCGTTATCAAATATCATCACAGGCAAATTACCCTGCATCAGATCATGTAAAATGGGGGCAAAATGCTTAAATGTGTTGTGCTTACTTTTCTTAATGTAACATCGAATATTAATTAAAGCTATGAAAAATGATAACCACGGATTTAAAAATACAAATAAACCGTTAATGATTCATAGATGCAAGTATATTGAAAATGGTCCCGTCGCTTTTTAAAATAAGTCACTTAATACTAGATATCACGATAGGTTTACTCATTTTTTTTCCGAATATCCATTTCGCATTATTGTTTTTGAATTTGTTCAGCCCTAAACGTGATGTAACAAATTAATGAGCTTATATATTTTCTTAATCGCAACTGGATCTATAATGACCTTATAAATAAAGAAAACATTTTATCAGCGTGTCATATTGATGTTTTTATCCTGTTAATAAATTGTTGCTGAAATGTGGATAAGGATTACATTGTTTATGCAACTGACATTCGTTAGATGTTTCAGTCGAAAATTATATGGGGGGGTTGATTCAAATGCAAACACTCAAATATCAATAAACAAAACGGAAACCTTAAATAAATATATCAATTTGCTTACACTGTTACTATGCTTTGATAAAGATGTTATGCACAAAGGAAAATATTTAATAATGGTCGATATTTTAACTATTACTAGATATAAAAGAGATTGAAACATTTCCATTTTATCGCCAAGGAAATCGTAGTAACGGGTTTGTGAAAATAAGAAAATTATCAAGAATCAATAAGAAAATATCGATCTTGCCATGTACTGATGCTAAATGGACAGTACAAAAAGGTTATTATCGTTAACAACGACAAGATATGTCTTTTTAAGAATTGGTTATTTCTTTTTTTTATTTAAGCTTCTTACATGTAATTTCGATTTATTCTAAGTGGGATCGAATTGAAATAAAAATGCATTAGTTATATTTTTTTCGGCAAAATAAAAGCTAAACATTTAAAAATAGAAGATCAGTGTTTCCGAAAACAAGGCAGATGAATTCCAGATAAATGTGAAAACTAGAAAACAGTAGAACAAGATCGGAATAAAAATGTTGATATCAGTGACGATATTCAATAATGATATAGAACAGAGTAAAAGCAGACAGGCGACGTAAATATAGGACGAAAAGAGAATACCCTCAGTTTAACCAATAATTTTAAAAAACGACTATAATACACGTAATGGAAATACCAGCCTAATGAACTCTCACGTTGTCTTTGTATGATAAAAGCAGAAGAATAAAGCACATCAGGAGAACTGGGTTGGAATTCACTTATTTTTAAAACCGTATTTGCACAGTCAAATCTGGTCATGAATACAACTCGCAGAAAAGTTAGACTGCTATAATTAGAATTTACACCAATGACTTAGGCTATGAACTGGTCCTTCATCAAAATAAGGGTATACTATCTAATCAGAGTATTTGAAATAATAAGATAATATCACCTACAATACATCTCCCAAAAAAGAAGCTGTGCCTAGGCATCGTTTACGGGTATATTCAGAACCTTCGCCAGGGACTTTGCCTATATACTGGTTCTTAATTGGAGGTATGTATTCCTAACTGATATTTGCTTGTTGACCTGATAATACAAGACTGCATATTTTCGCAGTAATAACGCATTGGTCTTATCAGAGGTGCACAGTTATTGATAAGGTTTATCAGAATTTGTTGTAAATAAGCTGTTCCCTTATCAATCAGAAGCATCAGATGCTATTTTCACTAAAAATATTATTTGAAAATAATTATGCATACACAGGTTTAGTTCGATATCGGACATACCCTATGTCAAACAAGCAGCTGTAAGTAGGCATTGTTTACGGTTAAATTCAGAATCTTCACTAGGGACTTGGTCTATGTAGAGGTTCTTATTTTGAATGAAAGAAAGTATGCAACTGATGTGTTAATAAATAGAAATAAAGAGAACTATTTTAGCATAACTATGGCTGTGGTGTTGATCAATCACCTTGCGACGGACTAGCATATCGAGTAACAGGGATGAGAAAGTGATGATCCGCCAAGTAACGAGCACAAGTGAAGAAATCGTTTTATAGAAGGGGAGATGAATGGATCTTTTTTTCCCTTTTATAAAATATGCAGATGAAATATGGGATGATTATAATTTCCCTTACTTCCCCTTAGGACCACACACTCGCACATAAAATGATTCGAAACCTGAAAGCGGAAATTGAAAACTGAATGTTTTAATATCACCGTACCAATATTTTGCAAAAGACATTGAGTTGATCACAAAGCAAATGTATGTAGGATCTTCTTTAATATTTAACGGTGATATTTACGTATTTATTAGTTGAGCTTTAAATCTTTTCTAACAAAGAGGTTTTTTTAACCAACAATTGATAATTTAGAAAAACATGTTACCGGTATATTGATAAAGGCCGTATGCATAGTTTTTTTTACATACATCAGTTATTTGGTAATTATTAAATTATTGAAAACATTTAATGATTGTAAAAATCTTACATCAATTCTCCATTACAGTTATTTTCCATACGATTTATAAATGAAATATTAAAACAAAATACAGACTTTGTCCTTATGATGACCCTAATCTCCATTACAAAATATTGGTATGCAATCATTCGTTAGACCTCCGCACACACATACTCTTTCACAGATCATTCACTCGCTACACACAATGTTACATATGAATGTAAATATAAATATCTAAATTGTGCGTGGAAACGTTTTTAAATGTATTTTTTAATACTTAAAGCGGATTTATTGTAGATGCTTATCATACAATTGTTACTTATTATTTTGATGCCTATGTATGTTTGTGAAGAATATGATATTACTGAAGAACTTGATTTCACTCTTTCGGTTTGTAATGCTTAAAATCATAACACTTATATTGATCGAAATAAAGGCAAAGGAACTGGTATAAAAACAGCTAGAACATAACTTAAAATATTAACGTATTTATAGATTTTATGATGAGTAAGGAGCTGTCAAAAGGCTTCGTTTACGAGTGTACTCAGAACTTACGCCAGGGACTTAGCCTATAGACTGGTCCTTTACTCCATATATTGGAAACATTGATAATGATGTCAAGTATTTTAACAAATTTACTGATTGCATTGTTCATACTAATCAAATTGATAAACCGTTTCATTGAGTTATAATAAACCTTACCCAGGCTTAAATTTGCATGAGGAGCATTTCCATGGAATGTTTCATTCACGATTTAACAATGACAACAGACATTTTTAGCCAAGAAACACTGCGAAAATGATTTTACCAGTTATCAAGTTTATATTGTCCCCATTGAAACTGAAAATAGCCACTTCAACTTATAATTTAATGCTACGTGTACATGATTAAGAAAAATGTCTTATTTAAGATACGTATATATTAATGAGTTGACGAGTTTTATATTCCATTACAGCTGTACTCCAATGACGTTTCTGTTTTATTTTAAAATATCTTAAAATTCTTACGATAAACAATTACTTCACTTGTCCTTTTTCTATCATGCCTTTACTCAATTAGGTCCCACATTTATTTTCGTCTAACTTTACCGAGATATAAACAGATATATAATATCATTTATCATTGGCACTGGCATTAAAACAGTGCAAATATCACACCATATTATAACATTTGAATGGTCAAGTGTATAAATCCGAAATTTTCACTAAAAATCCTATATCTAGCAAGAATATTGATGGTCATGTCTATTCATATTTACTTAAACAAGATGTATATTTGCTCTTTTTCTATTTGCATTTTGAAAATTATCTCGATAAGTCTTTTAGTGACCTGGCTTTCAACGTCATTTGTCTGCGTCTATCGTGATTAAACCTGTTGATTATCACTACGTTCGTTGGTGGCACAATATGTTCTTAAATTTGACAGAAAACAGGTTGGTGCCATGAATAAAGTATAAAACGCTTACATCACTAGACCATCTGGTTTTTATCACCGATCATTTTTTCATTAATATTTATCTATTTATCTATTTATTCATTTATTCATTTATTTATTTATTTTCATATATATCTACTTATATATTCATTTATTCATTATTTATTTATATATGTAATTATTTGATTTACTTTTTCATTTGTTTTATGTAAAAAGTATTTTTTTTCTTAGCCTGATTAGTGCAGCTATCAATACTTCCAACCACACATTTATTACACATACCAGACAAAAGCTATAACACTATTTCACGACTAACAGGCCAGCTGATTCCATTCACACTGATTCCTATCTACATTTTATTCATCCATATCTATCGCGCCGTTACTCATATATCATTTAACAGGTCAATTTGTCGTGTTAAATTATGTAGATCAACTAAATAAATTCATCAGAAAAAAACGTATATGGTCAATGACATATCATTGGGAAAAAAATTATCAAAACAATTTGAATGCCAAAAATAAATGCACAGGACAAATATGAGTTATTACATAATACCTTACGAATGATTATATCGCCAATTGATACAAAATTTGCACATTTAATTTTGAATTAATTGCTAAAAAAGATTCTCTGAATGACGAAAATTTGCAATGAAGGTAGCTGTCAATATCATCAGTCACGTGTCAAAAAATTAGTCGTTTATATATACAACATGTCTACAACCTGAACACTTCATCATTCATCCGTGCATATTCATTCATTCATTAATCTATTCACTAACAAATCCATTCATATCTTGATTTAACTCT